GAGCCCCTGCCCCCGGTGGCGTTTTTCCTATTCGTTTTTTGTTTGGAGCGCGAGCGGGCGAATAGGCTGGCCAGGTGGAGTGGTGGAAGGAAGCGTGGTTGGGGACCCCTGAGGTGGTGTGGCGCCTCTCGCGCGGCTCTCGCTTAGAATGTTTTGCTGGTTTGCTGTGTTGCCTAGCCAGGAAATCCCTGGCAGGGACTGGGCCCGGTCAGCGCCCCCGGTGCCCTCAGGCAGGGCGACAGGGCCACCCACAGTGTAGCACCCCCTCAACAATAACACTAAGGAATAGCAACAACAATAATAATAGTGATGATAATAATAGCTATCACATATTATATATATACTATAGTATAGGGGGTCGCTCGTCGCGGTTACACATATGCATGGAAGTATCAAGCATACACATACAGGCATGCATCCATCGACATACATACATACACACAGACACACATACACACAGACACACATACACACATACATACATACCGCCGTGCATCAAAAGCTAGCTAACAAGGATACATGCACATATATCGCGTACTTCCGGCTGTAGCAGTCTACGTGTATGGTATACATGATGAACACATATTGAGCCATATTGCTTTCCTCTCACCTCCTGATTGACGACATCTTCACCCGGTCCACATACTCCCCGAAGCGGTTACTGCAGAGCCACACCCTCTTCTTGTCCACAGGGTCTTGCGGGATAGGAGGATCAAGAAATTTGCGCTGATCCAACTTGTCCTGGTTGGGTCTAGGCAGGGAGCACATCCAACCAACCATGCATACAAATAAACATGCATCGTAATAAGATGTTTGGAGTTCTGGTAAACTGTGAACGGTCAAGTACCGATCGGCAGATGTCAGGATCCCGTGATACACCCAGAATACAGCACATACCCTATGAAGCACGAAAAGATGAACAAGATATACATGCATGAACCACGAATAAGAATGTGCGCTATGCATGCTTGTTTTAAGCGGCAATGTTTGAAGAAACACAATTTTCCAAACGAAGTAATACACTACTGCGTGCATGTATTATCACGGCTACAGGAAAAGCGCACCGGTCGGCAAATGTCAGGATCCCTAGATACATACACCCAGAACACAACACATACCTGTCATTCTCCGTCTTCTTTCTGACCAACCAGACCCTATCAGAGGTCTCGTTGTGCTGCAAATCAGCAGTATATACATATATGCACATAAGAGTAATAATTCTTGGTGCCAAAATCATACCACGGCACGATCTATAAAATATTCCATACCATGTACATGTATCGATACACGATCGATTCCTTGATCGTATCTATGTTATTATACGGTCCTACCTATTAAACGATGACCCTGTCTATGTGTAATAACTATTTCACCGAGGACGGGCGTGTAAACATACATGGATTGATGCAGGACAGACATACGGCGGATGCACGGCGCACAAATACATACATACAAACACGGGTACATGGCCATGGACAGATGCTCACACGCACGTACACGGATACATGGACAGGCCGGATACACATTTAGGCTGATGAATATGTAGCTGATGAACAGCAAGTGGCATGGTGCTACCCTGGACTCATGCCAGGGTCCTCTGGGCACGGCGGGTCTATTAACTCTTATCTGCGATTTTTTTCCTATAAGCTTGCAATATGTATGGACAGGGCCGGCCCGCTCCAACCTACCCTGAAGAGCCACTTCCCCTCCACCTCCATCTCCTTCAGCATCTTGGCCTTCAGCGCATCCGTGGCTACCTCCCAGCCCTGCACCCCAAACGTACATGCACGCATTTGCACGTGTGTAACGAAACGAAAGCGATCGATTGCAAAACCCGGTGTGCAACCCAGCAAGCCAGACGGCCAACCCACCTCAGGGCGAGGCACACGTGTCACCTGAAGGCCAGATCAGGCAACATGCAGGGCCGGTGGGGTTTGTGTGAGCAGCGAAGGGGTAGGCAGTGCGGTTATTATCCAGCAGTGGCACGCGATACCATCTAGCTAGGTGCGATGATGATGATGATGATGCATGTATGTGGTAACGAGAACTGTCGTGGCACCCTATGTGTGCGGTACTGTCGCGCTCATGTACACACTTCCACCTGATCGGCTGTTTTCCTATACATGCCCCTGCATGCGCTACTACTACTACTACTACTACTTCGCCTCGTGGCATATCATTTCGCTCTTATCTTATCCTTTTTGCATTTCGCCTATCGCATGTTGTCATGCGTAAATCTGCTGGGTTACAGCGCTCTCAGCTTGCTGTAGCCGTGACACGCACTTGCCACCACTGGTGGACCCGCGAGGGGTATCGTGTTGGTATCATAGTTTTTGCAGTAAACGGCGATTATATATCTTGCGATGAGGTCCTTTTCCCGGGTCGTACAGCACATTGCTGCACAATAAATAGTCTTCGTTGAGACATTAAACCTCCCTCCTACCTATTTAATCACGGATCGGTAACTCTCACCACCACGACCATACAATTAAATGGCGGTGGTGATACCACAGGAACACATACAGAGCTACAGTAAGATGTGCTGGGGCATACATACCGGTACCTCCAGGGAAAACCTACACCCTAATAGTAGTAGGGTTTTAGGGTTTTAGGGTACCTGGAAAAGGCACTCCCTATTCGCTTGGGAGCCCTTCGCCATCTCCACCCAGTAGGTAGCTCCTGGCATTAGGGAGTTCTGCGCATATGAACCGCATATGCATATGTAGGGGGATACAGGTGTATGCATGTACCCTGATGGGCCGGGTAGAGTTATTGCAAGGATGCATGCATGCAGGCTGCTGGATGGCGGAGTCGCCACCTGCACTGTGGGTTGCCTAAATGGGTGAAGGCGGCGGTAGGAGGCCTTGTAATGTTAAAATAATGACTTACAAGCCAGTGGTTGTGCCTGCTGCAGCGTGCGCGGGCTCAATATAATAATGATGGAGTGAAAATTGTTGTGGGGCAAAGCAGATGAGGGAGCTGATAGCACGTTCTACATGATCCGTTTTTTAACCGCATGCTGGGCATGCAGGACCTGCTGTACCCACGCACGGCGGGCCTGCTGGGCACGATTAATCATCAGGACTGACCACGGCGTCGAGGAAGAGCGCATCCCAAACAATATGTGACCGTAGACCGTAAAAGATCGAGACATCCGTCCTCGCTCATGTCTTAACGCTCGCTTAACATGATTTTGTTTTGGCGGCCCTAACTTGAGCCTCCTGGTCGGCGCATTAAATCGAAAAGCCTAACTTGGACACGTAAAAAAATATACAAAAATAGATGCATCGTACCATAAAGTTAAGATCATCGTTCAAGTTTCCAGTATCCTCCGCTTTGGAGGCCTCAGCGCGAAGCCTTGGCGAATTCCTGGATTTTCAAAGGTGTAAATACAACGTCACAGTTTTTTGGCTGGTTTAGGAAAGGCATCCCACGCACCTTGGCTGCTCCATGTGAACCTAGTAGTGCTTGGACTCTAAAATTCATGCATTAACAAAATACGTTTATCACTATGAATATGTTGCACGTGCATCGCGAACATGGAAACAGCAAAGGTGATAATGCGATGTGTGCTGCGCGTCTGGAACCACACCGTACGAGCTCGCTTGTCAGCACACAGAGCATGAAAATTGACGTCATAAGATGTTTGTTCCTTGCACATTTAAATTTTTAATTGGGCTCGCGGTCCATCAGCCGCCTGGTTCGTTTCAGCATCACAAGGTCACTGAGGTTGTGATATGACATATTATAATCTTTTCCTGTCAGGTCTTCAGGAAACGAGGTCTCAAAAAAGGCAGCTAACTGGCTGTCACTTGCATTCCTTGTTGACGTAGGCAGCGACCGGATTTTCATCTACATGAATACCATTGAAGATAAAGATGTTGGTGGCGATGATAGATATGGTTATTGTGAATTTTGATGTAAGGAGCGCCCCGTCAATTCACGGCTCCTTCCGTCGCCATCCCTTTGGGACAGGGCTTCTGCAAGGAGTGGACTTCGGGCTTTGGGTATGATGTGGCCTTGCTGGCATCCCCAGGCCATCCATGCCAGTGTCGGGCTATAAGCTCAGCACCGCAGCAGTTCCACGCCACACCATGCATGCCCCGCGCCAACCCATCACTCCCCCTGCGTCTACCTTCTAAGTAGCAGCACTGTAAATATGCTTAACTGACCCACTCAGCACAAGGCAAGGCATGCCCCTTAAGTTACGGCATATATGTGATATCTCAACAACGGCGACTTGCTGTGAAGACAGCGGTCCGCTAACTCTGATTCCCGTAAGGAAAGCGGTGCCCAGGACAGTGAAGGGGAGGGAAAACGGAAACAGATTCAGGGCCGGGATCCCTGCGATCGGCCTACGCCCAAATGGTGCATGGACCTCACAGAAGCGGCTTACGGTTGGGAGGAGCGTGTTGCCTTAAGGACAAGCGAGGGCGGGAAACACGTTTAACTGGGCCGGCGCGTGGCTGACAAGGCTTGGGAACTTATAGCGAGTTGATATGCCGGAGGGTTTACTGAAGATGTTTGGCCATCCATGTGAGTTTGTGAGCACGGAGCAATTATGGTTGGGAGGCGGTTGGCGGTGGCAGCAGCACCAGAAGCAGCAACAGCAGCACCAACAGAAGCAGCATTAGAAGCAACAGCGGAGCAAGAACTTTAGTAGGAGTTGTTTTAACGTGCAGGAAATCTAGCTTCGCGCTGCCTGGCGGCCTGCCAACCATTCTACGCTAAGTTTGTAGAATGGATGGCAGGCGGCCGTGTGTGCATGCCTGCGTCATGCTTGTACTTCACGGATGTTTGGGGGATGCAGTCCGTGGCCCATGTCCTGTCCCCGTGTTTTCCCCCTTGGTTCGCCTCTCTCGGCCTTGCCTTGGTGAGAAGTGTTGCCGTCGGGGCGCTGTGGCCACCAGAGGAGATACCCCATGTAAGTGTACGGCGTTTTCGGTGTCCGTGTTATGGGTCATGAATCTAATCCTTTGTATATATTGCGCAAGTCTACTCTAGGTGTCGTACCGTCGTGGCATAGTTGCACGCCGTGGCACGGCAATAGACACGTCACACGCTGACGTGTCCGAACACACGCGTCCTCCTTGCTTGCACCTCGTCATCTGCCACATGAACCTGGGTCTGCAAGATGAGGACACACCGCGGTCTTGCTGGGGCTGCTGCTGCTGCTGCTGGCGCTGGAAGTACCGAAGGTAAGCGCCTTCGAGAGCTGCCACTGCTGGCACGTGCGTACGGCGAACAACTTGCAAACATACGTACGGCAGCGACACGGTGGTGTTGCAAAAGGAAGGTCCCCCGGTGGCAGAGGTGAAGACTATGGCAGTCCTTGCGGCGAAGGCAGTTCTGGTGCCGGTGGCAGACGATGATGTGCTGTGCATAGATAAGGTGCTATCATTTTTCATCACCCCGTGGGGGTTGTATCTGGTGTCGAGCCCCGCGGGGATCGGCTCACCCTGGGGCCGTTGTCCTGTATTCCACTGCCCGGGGGATGTGCTCTGTAGAGGTGAAGACCCATTGCCGTGGCGGGTCCGGGGTGCTCGTGGCGTCGGACGGATCTGGTCCACGCGCAACAGCAAGCAAGCGGGTTGAAGAAATCCGTTTCAGTTGAAATAACGGTTGGAAGTTCGTTGACCGTGTAAGATCGAATGGGAGAGGCAAGGCAGAAAGGGCACAACAACTGATGCTTGAGTGGATGCCATGCGCTGTGTGACTGTGCGAGTTAGTGTGAAAGTGTTATTCTAGGCGAAGGGGGAAAAGGGAGAGGGCGGCATGGCCCCGCTGTGCTGGCTTTGCTGCCTATTACCGCACACCTGTTACTGTTACCGACATACCTCGACTAATGCCCTGCGTTTGTAGCTACCATACTTCTTGCTTAGTATCCGTGCAGCCAGGTAGTATCGTCCCTAGGTCATCCTCCCTGCCACACCTAACCCCATTTCCAACCCTACCTTGCCCCAGTCCAGCCCATTGCTCATCTCCCCTTTTCTCATTGATTGCCTTGACACGCGGGGATGTCGCATCTCTACTGATGTAAGCGGCATCTATGCAGTGTAACGAATAGCCACCGTCGGATAACATCCGGCATCATGCCTGACTGAATCGGGGCTTGGGAGAACAGTGCTCTATCTGTGTCAGGGCTTCAGGATAAGTCAGCTTCATTTGGCAAGCGCCACGCCCCCCTATCAGGTGCATCATGCAACACTTTCATGCACACACCCACGACACAGCCAAAAGCTCAACCCTATGCCGAAGAACCAGCGAGCCCGCAAAGCTATGAATGAACCAGGTCGACGGCCAATTCAGAACACACGACGTCAAGCTCCAAAATGACGCCCCCCCCACACTGCTTATTCTCACACCGCCAAAGCGCAAGTCAAGGAATTAACCGTCACCGGGAATAGCAGCCAGTCATGTCCAGATCACACGGCAAAATGGACAACCAAGGACGCCTCTCGACGACTTGTCCGCATTGGTGTGTTTCTCAACACACACCAATGCGGAAAGGCAACAGGTAAAAGCAAGGGGCAACACACATGCCTAGGTCATGTTCGCCTGACGTTTTCACGGAAGCAAAATTGCTCAGTCCTCCTGGCCCTCCTGGCATCCAAAACCTTCCAGCACCAGCCTCCCCACGAACACACGAACGGCAGTTACCGCCCTGTCCATGAATCCAGACAGCCATGCACGCACGCATACACTACTACTTCCGTTGCTGACCCGCAGGCCCTCCGCCTCCACCTCTTCCCGCTGCTACTGCAGCTCCTTTGTTCCGGGAGGCCGAGGGTACCCAGGGATGCCGGTCGCTGATGACCTTGCGTTTCCGCGCCTCCGCCTCCATCTGCTCTGGGGTGAGATGCCGCTTAGGGGGGACCGGACCAAACTGCTTCACGAACTGGCCCCGGCGGATGCGTGCTGCGTCATGGACTCGGGCCTCCTCCTCCTCTTCCAGGATCAGCGTGCTGCGGTGTGGTATCGGGCAAGGGAAGGGTAGGAAGGATGGGTGGTGGAAGCCATATTTGCAGAATGCAAAAAATCAGTTGTTGGCGTATGGCGAGGAAGGGTCCGGATAGTATAACACACATGCTCCTGCGCATAGTATATATGTAGAAAGGAGCCCCTTGCATCGCATCAGCAGCACCCCACGTTCTGCTTTCCCCATTCCGTCTTGAGGTAGGCGGTATGTGCCCTTTCTGATGATGATGATGCGAAACAGCATCAAAGAAGGTTTCGGATAGGCTGCAGTTGGGACACAAAACTGCACGACAGACAACAGATCTATATTGCACACACACACACACACACACACACACGCGCGCGCGCACACACACATCCGCCCCAAATCCAAGAATGTCTTCCACTCTGCCGAACCACTTTTTTCAATAGTATTGGCGGTGTGCCGCCCTCGCCACCTCCTACTTGTGGCTCAGCTCCTTAACACGCATACACACGCACACGCACACGCACACACACACGGGGCGGCCGAGCAGCACGCCCCGTGTGGGAGCTCATGTGGGTCAAGGGGGGGATCGGGCTGTGCGGCACACGGGCGGGGGAGCCGCTGGGAGCAACGCTAAGACCAACCCGGTCTGCGTGAATAGGCTGATCCGCAAAAGAAGGTTCGAGGATTCGATCCAGGGTTCACGAAAAGGAGAAACCAGACCTGGTCCCCACCCACTCTTCCTCTAGACCTTCGGAGTCCCCCGGATGCAGGCGGTGCAGCCTCAACTCAATCGAACTCAACTAGTACCCCACTGACATCGATCCCCTCGTCGTCCTCCTCCTCCCCCCTGTTCCCCACCCCTCCCACCTCTCTGCCTAAGATTCCCCCCTTTCCACCTCCTCCTAACCCTACCCCAACCCCAAGGTTCTCACCTCCCGCCCACTTTCGCCAGCAGCTTCCGCTTGAGCGCCTCCGTTGCCTCGATGCTGGCCAACTTGTCCCGGGCAGACAGCGGCACCTCCGATAGAGTGGACACTAGACCGGGCAGCACAACCTCCTGCTCCAGAGTATTCTTGAAGTCGGCAGGCACAGCGTACAGCTCCGCCTCAATCTGAGAGCAGACGGAAGTTATAGTTTTTTGGGTTTCAGTTTGGGGCAGTTATTACCTGGGTTGCTTCGTGCGGAGATGGGGATTGGTGTTGGAATGTGACCGACACTCATACACCAGAGAGTGGTAGCAGCAGCAATAGGGGACCCGGGAGGAAAGGTCCGGCGTTTTGCTGGTCTTAACAATTGAATTATAAAAGAGGCGAAAAGGCTTCTCTGCGGCCGGAGGAAAGCAAGGGCATCCCTCCACAAGCCGCAATTGGTCCCTTCTTAGGATTCCCCCTTCCGAATGCCCCATGGCTTTTCCACCACCGGATCACGTCCTCCCCTCGCCCGCATATCCACGTCCCGCCCCGGTCCCGTCCCGGTCTGCTTGTCTTTCCTAGCATTGAAATGCACCTGAAAACACACACATATACATACATAGATAGATACATACGCATGTATGCACATCAATACACAGACACGCACATCAATACCCCGATCTCCCCTCATCCGCGCCCTTGATCACCTTTCTCTTCTTTGCTTCCGGGTCCAGCTCCTCATCTTCGGACACTTGCGCGGCCGTCTTCCCCAGTCGCACCGCCAACTGCTCCTCTATGTACTTTTGCCTGTTGTTGCGAAGCAACATAGAAGATAGCAGATGGCGGCGATAACAGCTAAGGCAGTGAGGAGAGCCAAAAGACTGCAGTTACACGGGTGAAAAGCAGTACCATTGCTGTGGGTACCATTGCTAGGCAGGACAGGGCAAAATCGCATCACATCACATCACGTCAGATCACATCACGTTCTCAGCTGATGTGCGCAGGTCAATCAAGTTGCATCAGCATCATCCGGCACTCACATGGCCTGTACGGCACATCACAAGTGATGCTGCTTCCCTGTGCTAGGGGGACGTGTCGTGACGGGGTCGGAAATGGGGTGGTAGAGCGCGCGTGCGCGTGTGCGTGCGCGTGAGAATGTGTCGGTTGCATAGGACAGACACTATCTTGGGGATGAAGGATGGTTGTCGGGATTGCTACTACTGTGCGAATCTGTGTGTACGCGTGGATGTACATGTGTATATGCTAAGGATAGGGCTATGTAGGTAGTTTAGGGGACGGAGAGATGGATGGGGTGTGCAAAGAGCAAAGGGGAGTGGGGGCAGGGGAATCACCAGGCCTGAGGGGACCCCCGCTCTGTGCGTGGGAGAGGGGTAAGACGAAAACCTGGCGCATGAAGCAAACACCAGTGTAAACGGATAGAGCGTGGGAGAGAAGAGGGAAATGCTGGAAAAGATCTTGGGGCCTCTTGACGAGTAAACAACTCTCTCGTTCCTCAACCCAGGCACAGTCTTGCGTTACGCTCTCTAAAATATGTATAAAATACATAACACGAATGCATAAATCAGTGTATGGCTGGGCCAGGTTCCGTCGGGATGTGCGTGTGCTGAGGGCGAGTGCGCCACACGCCCGCGTCACTCGGGCACATCGCCTCCTTTAAGCCACCCACATGTGCGCATCCTCGTCCTGCTGCGTCGCTATGGACTTGGCCTTGACGTAGGTATCCATGACGGGCGCCGTGCCCCCGGCATCGGAAGGTCCTTCATCTGCTGCGGACTGGGGCTCTGTTGAGCCAGCACGGACCCCACCCCCGCCACCGCCGCTGTTGGGCCCTATCCCTGGCCCCGCCAGCCCCATGGCCAATGCCCCAGCACTGGCACCTGCTGCCCTCTTCCGAAGCTGCTGCATGAGCCGGGTCTCGGTCATCTTGTCCCTGAGCCGGGCAGGGCAGGGCAGGAGCAGGGAAGCGCGTGGCAGGACAAAGGAGGGTAGGGCGGGATACCATGAGGAGGGAGGGAAATCGGTTTGGGTCCTGTATATGCAGGAGGAAGGGGATTCTGACCGGCTGGCCGCGGCTGGCCGGGCGCTGCACGGGAAACAGTGCACAGGCGGTAAGTGCAGCTAACAGTGGGACTGAGATAGTGGTGACGGACAGGGCAAAAGGCGTTGCGGCAACATCGATCGGCCAGGTAGAGGGTCCTTATTGTGCTGTGCTGCCCGGGCGGCCTGGTCAAGATGGCGGGAAAGCGGGAAAGTGTGAGTAAGGGAGGGCAGTAGAGGACCTGGAAGGATGTTGGGGCGCTTGGGGACCTGGCGCATAGAGGCTACATGGTTCACCCGCACGCCAACAATTCGAGGAGTTGGAGGTTATGTTTCCCTCTAAGCCCCTGGTAGCCAGCCAATGGGACTCGCCAACCTCGGGAGGAGACCAGGTCATGGAGGCTGTTCCGGCAGGAACTCGCCAATGAGCGTCAGCCGTTGGGATCCCTTTTCCCCCAGGATTGCGTGTGCTACTCGTAGCGACATCTACCACAGCATGTGTACATAGCGCATGGATTTCGATTTGAAGAGGACCCATTTGAGTAAAGCACGACTGCGGTTGAGTCAATTCCGGGACTCTTACCTCTGGTATTCCACCTCGCCCTCGCCATCTGGGCCGCTCTCGGGCTCCTCTGACAGAGCCTTTTTTCGTAAGTTGCGCTGCTTGGACATCTCCGGTGCCGCGCTTATGCTGCGTGCCGGAATCGACGTCTGCACCTAAAAGCGTCGTGCGAAGATAATTTATAACATGGACCAAAGCTTTGTTAAGTATTCATAATTAAAATGGCACGGACCAATTAGGGTAGGCAGGAGAAAGCTTAAAAGTTAAGGTATCAAATGTTTTCTCCTGGTTAACTTGGCAGCGACATAATTTGGACAGAGATTCTGGTGTCTGAATTGGAATTATTCAAACCTTGCATCGCGGTCAGTCCCCGCATATTGCATAGAGCGAATAATCACTATAAGGCCCTCAACGAAAACGGACTGACACAAACGTGTGTGTGTGTGTGTTACCGCTGCACGACATGTGCCCTATTTCAACTTTCGAGGTTATCGGTCTGACCGTCCTGCTTATGCCCCTGATCCCCCCTTTTCCCATTGCACAGCGCGGGCTCGGACAAGCCTAAGTGCGGTGCATTACCGGTGCCATTTCCGTGGCGGGTTTCGTCGGCGAATGGAGGGCGATGACTTTAGCGTCCCCCAGACACGTGTACGGTAGGTTTGGGATCGCAGGGGTATCAAAATGTCCATCCCGTCTGTCGTACCGTCGTGCGAAGCACGTGGTGTTTTGTGCCATGCTGTGTCGGGCATTCTCGTGCTATCATGTTTAGCTGGCGGCTGGCAGCAGAAGCGGCAGAAGCGGCAGGGACAGCCATCGTATCAAAGGCTTTCGGAAAGGACTCTAGCGTGCAGCAAATCCAGGTCACAACTGCCGGCCGCCTGCCAAGCAAGATATCGTAATATGTATTCCTGTATACCTGGGCCATGTTTGCATGGCATTGGTGTTTTCGATTCGCAATCCGTGACCAACATCCTGTCCCCTTGTTTCCCCTTTTTGGCGCTCCTCACTCGGCCTTGGCTTGGTCAGGATACTGCAGCCATGCATCAGAGGAAGTACCCCATGGTCAGTGTACGGCATTACGGTTTCAGCCTCGTGGGTCGTTGATGTACCGCTTGTTGTACTGTGCACGACTGCCGTACTGTGTCGTACCGTCGGGGTAGAATTGCGCACTTGGTATGCCGTGATCCCGTAATTGATGCATCACACGCTGACTTGCCCACTCATACGCCCTCCCCGCTTGTTTCTCACTGCCTGTCCGCATGAACCTGGGCCTGCATTCAACATGAGGAGACATCGTGGTCCTGCTGCTGCTGCTGCTGCTACTGCCGGAGATGAGTACCTTCAAGAGCTGTTAGAGGTTGACATGACAATTCAGCGAACAGGAGGCGGTGCGCTGGTCTGGCAGCGCCCACAATGGGCGATATGCCGCATGAACGATACCTGGAGCTGCGCTGCACCATCCTTCAGACATGCCTCAAAGGGCCCCTCCGCAAGGCTACTCGCATCACTCCGCTCTCCTGAGCTAGTCCAAGACTTCAGCCACACTTGACACCCATACAGCAGTATTGGTCGTACCTGCGTATCAAAACAGCTCATCCTGACATCTGGAGCGAACAAGTTTAACTTATCCATTATCGTACTCAGCACGAACATAGCTGCCCTAGCTGTGTCGTACAACTCCTGGCAGTAGGCACGAAACGGTCGTTCCGGTCCATACACTAAACCCAGATTTCGCGCACCCTCCTTAGCCGGTACGGCCTCACCAACTAGCATCAGCTCATTACCCGATGCTTGAACAGCACTCCTTGTGTCGCTGTCGCTCGTAGAGACGAGGCGTTCATATTTCAACACATTTGTCCGCATCCCCAAATCGTCACATGTCCACGATTTTGAGCAGCTCCGCCATGCGCTCTGGTGTCGTTGGCAGAAGACTAACGTCATCAGCATAGAAGAGCATAGAGGAGGATGGACACTCGCTCATTTCCAACCTTCACTGCATCCTTCGGCCGTGCCCTGGTGTTAATACCGTCATGCATATCAATGACATCCGCAAGAGTTTCAAGGAAAAGTCCAAACAACTCAGTTGACAGCGGACTGCCTTGTTTCGCACCCTGTTTTGACTCAAATTCGCCCCCAGTCTTGTCATTCGTCTTGATGGCCAAATTTAAGTTTATAAGGTTTCGGGGATGTAATTGTCCGGGTCCCCAGCGCTCGCGGTTTGGTTTAACGAACGATTAACTAGCCTGACTCCGAACATCACTCGTTTGTTTGGAGTAAAATTGAACCTCGCTAAACGAAATAAACTGGCTGCAGCAAGTTTCACCCGCTACCGGGGGGCTTTCTGTGTCGGTAATCTCTTATGCAGTCTAGCCTTGGCATTTCTCTTGTTCAGATTGGCTGGAGGATTCGGGCACATGCAGAGAGTAAGCTTGTCGTAACTTTAGTTGTGATCAGAGACACTTATCGCCGAGCGCTCCCCGCGTGGACCTTCTGGCCTTTTCCCACGTTGACTTGCGGCCAACTACTTGCGTCGAGCTGCTGCTGCTGTGACGTGCAAGCACGATCGGGTGAATATCCCGTCGAGGACCCTGGCGCCTAATTTTTGTGTCTCGCTCCCCGCTCCCCGCTCGTGATCGTCACTGTTGCCCTTTCCTTGGCTGAGTGTCAGCATGGCCGCCGGTTGGGGATGCTATAAAGACCTTGTTACATTAATAATCGTGTTTCAGTTGTATCCTTATGTAGTTATGAGATTAAAACGGGGCGGCTACCAGTGAAGCCGCAGCGGCAGCGCCCTGGCTCTCACGCGTTCGTGTTCCAGTGTCAACTCAGTGTATTTGTCAGCATCTTGGGCACCCTAATCCAGCATGGCTTTCGGAGCTCTACATTATGCCGATTATAAAAATACTCTTCCTATGTGTTTGTTTTTGAGAAAGTGCTGAGGTATGGAAAGAGGTATGGTCTTAGTCATTATCGCCACGCTCGCAAAGTTACTAAGTTGATGCGGAGCAATGCTATAAGACTAATGTCCCAAGGGCAATGCTGTAAATTTTCACAAGTTACGCCATCACATGCCCACGAGCGATGACGCCGTGAGCCCGTCGGTTGGCGACGCCACGGTTCTTCGTTTAGCCGTTCCTGGGCCGCAACGTCTGTACCCTGAGAGTCAGTGGCACCATAGATTGTTTTTTAAACCACTACTGTGCTGTCCGGCGACTGAAGTTGGGTTTCTGGGCCTGCTACGCACAGCGTGCCGTACCGCAGCCGACTGGAAGTTAGCTTGCATGCCGTCCACAGGCCAGTTGAACAACAAATGATTCATAAACAGAATAAAAAGCTTTGTGCGGCGGTAACCCTTATGACTGTACTTCATTTACAATTCGCTGCGATTTTCTTTTTCAGTATCGGCAACATGGCCAGAGGCCGGATGCCTCCTGTTATTGTAGTAGCTTTAATAGCTTCCTATGTTAGCGTCTCGGCTGCTCAGCTAATTGCGCCTTACTTCACTTCGTTTGAAACCGGGCAGGATGGCTGGGGCGTTCTCGTCCGCAACTGGGCATGTCCTTGCCCTGAGGCCACGCTCAATTTCTCTAGTCCTACTGCCAAGCTCTCTGGTGCTGCTGGCCTTCAGGTTTCCATCACGGTATGTTGGTCGTCACAGGGCCTGACAAAGCTTCGTTGCTTCAACTTGCCAAAATGGCAATACTGAACATGTAGCACTCCAATACCTTCGTCATGTAATTAAATAAACTAGGCTTTCCTATGTAGTTCATGTCCGTGGAGAAGAGGGGACGTTTGTGTAGCTGGTTTTCAGTTTCTGCTCGCCATTACTGTTGTGCTTCCTTGTTGTGCTCCAGCTTCCAACGCAAGCGATATATTCCAGGAATATAATCCAATTATAAGAATAACTCGCTGTCGGGCATTCAGGTACCGTCCGACCAAGGATGGCATGTCCAAGCCAGGTCGCCGCAGTTCAACATGACGGCCGGAAATGTATACACCGCTTGCGTCTGGCTGCGGGCCGCTGCAACCCTGGGCGGTGCAGGAACCGTATCCTTCAGCCTCTTGACGACGAACACCTACGAGACGCTCGGCTGGGCGGGGACAAACGTGAGCGCAACGTGCTGACCTGACGCGCTGTTCCCGAGCCAACAATGATTTCAATTGATATAATGAAAACGCACGTACCCGCTGTTTGCTTCATAATTCAGGTTGGCACAAATTGGACCCAGCTATGCATGAGGAACATCGTCCTGAATGTCAGTGCAGTGACGTACTATACGCTGGACTTCGGACTCAACACGGGCTCCGTGTTTGTCGACGACATGAATGTAACCACCGGGTAAGGAACCGGTTTCGACGGCCTCGATCGGATTTGATCTGGGTTGGATCGGAATGGATCCACCTAGATCTGGGAGGACGGGGCATCCGTAGAGAGTCTCGGCCTTAGCGATGCAAACAAGGCTTGCGGCGGGTGCATGGCTGGGCAAGGGGACGAGGACGACGGGGACACAGGACGGGTCGGGTGCAGCGGGCCGATAACTAGATCGGGATCAGTGTACAGATTGCTAGACCGCAGGTTTTGGTCCACGGGGACTGCCAGTCCCTGACACGGGGACTGTGGCAGGGCCTCTGAGGACGACCCACATCGGGCGGGTAGATGTCCCGTGAAACCATTTTCCGGTTTGCTTGCATTACATCATGTGCGTTGTAGATCGTCCAGAATCGTCCTGAAGCAGCCCGCCGTCGGTATTAAGATATTGCTGCTACGGGGCTCACGGCAGCCAAGCTGGGATACGGATCATTACTGGAAAAAACGTTGACCTTTGCACCCTTGCACCTTGACACCTGATCAACAGGGCGATGCCGTCACCGTCACCGCCTCCGTCGCCATCCCCGATTGCCGCTCCCCCCGGCGACTCCCTGGTTCTGATCAACACCTCGTTCGAGGCGGGTCAGCAGTCCTGGTCGACACTAGTTCGCAACTGGGCCTGTCCCTGCCCCCAGGCCACGTTTGACTTTGCAAGCTCAGCGGCCGCGTACACGGGAAGCAAGGGCGTCGAAGTCAATGTGCAGGTGGGTAACATCCACATGCTTGGACTGTGTAGCATGCGGTGTACGGCAGTGTGCCTTGTACGTACCTTAATGTATAATGTAGTGACTCAGGCATGTTTTCCCACATTAGGACCTTTAGGACCCTGTTTTGGACGTATTGCTGCGATGGCGATGATGCGGTTGTAATAGGGACATGATACCCAGCCATTCGATGACATGTGTCGGCGGTTTTCGTGGAAATTGGGCTTTTACTGCGCATGTATGCATGCCCGTACGTGCGTTTTAATAAACACAAAGAGGAAGTACAAAAATGCAATGCCGTACGTGTTTCTACGTGTGTATTTGTGTGTGTACCCGTACGACGCTGCGCCTGTTGCAGGTGCCTTCCGACCAGGGCTGGCATGTTCAGCTTCAGAGTCCGCGCTTCAACGTGTCCAGCGGTCAGCGCTACACGGTCTGTGTGTGGCTACGGGCCGCAACGGTCCCCCTGATGACGGGTAGCGGCAAGATGTCCATGAGCCTGCTGAAGACGGAAACATACGACGGGCTTGGATGGGCGCAAGCAACGGTGAGAGAATTCAATTCCGTTACAGTCAGGAAACTATCCATGCAAGCTGCTACCCTGTTCGTGTGCGGTTGTGTGGACGGTGTAATGGATCTAATGAGGAAAGGGAAGGAAAGGGGAAAAGAAAGGAACGGAGGGACGCGAGTAGGTTCGTGCAGCTGCCTGCTGCACATGCAAGTGCAGACATGTTTTGTTGACAAATAGGAATTATTTCTGCTCCACTGGCACTTTATTTCTATTTTGGCTTAGGTGGTATCATAAATTTTTCTCCCTGGTTGCTGTACATTCTCCGATGCGTTCGTTCCAGACACGCGCATGCGGTCCAGGTATATTTGAGTGTTGCAGATTGGGTGGCTTCTGGGCCATACGCCGGGTATAGAAGCTGTCCACCTACCAGGCTTGTACGTGTGTATGTATGCTTCCTTTTGCTGATTTGGGTTGCACGTGGATTCGCTGCACGTGAACTATTTGGTGGGTCGCAGGTTACCACGAGCTGGGCCCAGGTGTGCCTAGCGGACGTGCTGATTTCCATCAATGCGACTGTGTACGTGACGATTGATCTGGGCACCAACACGGGCATCTATCACCTGGATGACTTCACCGCCATTAACGGGTGCGTGACGAGCGCAAGTAGAGCACACGGTTGGGATGCAGGAACGGGTAAGACGGGTAAGGCTTTGGGGTCTCGTGCAGATACCAATGCAGGTGTGAACAGAAGTACGGCATTAGGTACAGGTATAGGCAAGGGCAATCAGACCAGATGTGGATCCAAAAAGAAAGTATGTCTCATGGCTTTGTGCTGGGATGGGCGGCGATGTCGAGCGATGAACGCTGGTTTGTTTGTTATGGTTGCAGGAGGAGCAGCGGCGGCATTAGCATTCCTGCCACTAACGGGCCCCTGACGGCGCCGTACTCGACGTCGTACGAGTCTGGCCAAGCTAACTGGATTGGCAGCAAGAAGAATACGTCTACGGCCTCGTTTAACTTCTCGAGCTCGGCGGCAATGCGTACGGGAAGCAACGGTGTCGAGATTGCCGTACAGGTGAGGTGGTGAATATTATTGCGGTGCAACATGAAAGGATGTGGCGATTCGGCGGCCGTTTGCTTTGTGACTCTAAGCATTTAGATTTGGTTTTTCATATTTCTCATTCGTAATACAGGTACCGTCAGTGGAGCGGTGGGACATTCAGCTACAATCTCCCCGGTTCGCCATCAACACTAGCTTCATGTACACGGGCTGCGTCTGGCTACGTACCCCTGGGGGACTGAGTGCTGGCAACCACGTGCCGTTTGTGATGCTGGAGGAAGGCACGTATGCCATGTTTTCATCGGGACAAGCACTGGTGCGTAAGGTTACCGGGATAACAGGAAATGTGGACGGCCTGGGCGCGGGCGAATAGGTGGATGGGCGGACCGGTGGAATTGTGCATGTGGGGTATGTGGTTGGGCTTGGATGCTGGCACCGGCGGTGATCGGACGATGGCTTGACAGGGTGCGGTGTTGCCACCCGGTGATCTGGTGCCAGCACACACACCCCGGCGATGACCCCATGTGGGACTTTATCGGCCTTTGTGGGCCTTGCGGGTAGTCCATTTCAAGTGGGGGGTTGAGAGGGATTTGCGTGTGAGGAGGAGGAGGGGGGGGAGGAGGAGGAGGTGGTGGCAGGTGCGCCAAAGCCCAGCTCACTGAGCCTGGCTCACACACCGTCTGCCAGCAGCATATCACACAGTCGCTACAACCCACCCCAACCCGGCAGACGCACCCCAATACCCCCTTGAACCCCGACCCAACGACCCGGCATATAAAACCCGAATCCCGAACCCCCCTTCCAGTATGCAGGTGACTCCGGTTTGGAGCCAGGTGTGTGTGATGGACTTCCGCCCCAGTCGCAACACGAGCGCGTTCTTCACTTTGGATTTGGGTCGCTTCGTTGGAACTGTGTACGTGGACGACTTCACCTTCACGGCCAGGTCGGTTGACAGTTGGCCTCGGTTGGTTGGTTGATTGGTCTGTTTATTCTGGTTTTGTTGGTTGGTTGTTGTCTCGCTCTTCCTTCGCTTTCCTCTTTGCCCTGCTTCCCTATCGTACATGTTAAACGCTAGCTAACCTACATCTTTACCAGGTAGCTCAAGACCTGGCATCACCCTCACAATTTGCCCTTTGCGAATTTCCTTTAGTAAGATCATCTTCCTGTCGTTTCGTGCATCTACCCCCGTCTCCGCTGCCTGTTACCTCATAACCCGACTTTCCACCTTGTCTAAGTGGGGCCCTATAACCCGAACCCTCCCCCGTCCCCACCTGCCATGCCCCCTGTCTAAAGGTCGAACTATAACCCGGAAGAGGTGACTTATGTGAGCTCAGCGGCCATTGCCGACCGGATCAACGCACACCGCAAGGGCAATCTCACGTTTAACTTTGTAAACGGTACCACCGGCCAGCCCATAACTCAGGTACGTGGGTCGGTCTGTGGGGAGCTGGGTGGTGTTGGTAATGATAGTTTATGGGTGGGGGGAAGTGTATGCGTGCATGAATGCATGAATGCATGCGTGCATGAATGCGTGAATGCATGAATGCATGTATGCACGCTCAACGTATACCTGTGCACTTCACTTGACTCTCATTGGCTCAATGGGTGCGTATGTGGCTGCTGACTCTGGGCGCTATGTACCCCATGAGACCTCCTCACTCCATGTATGTGCACACTAGCTAACAGAATCGTAACATCCCGTATCACACACGTTACCAACCCCATTTTTAACCCGTATTATTCCCGTACAATTTACTTCAAAGCAGCCTGTGACTCGATTGGAAGTTCGCCTGGCTCGCCACGACTTCCCATTTGGAACGGCGATGGAGTGGGAGAGTGTCCCTACGGAGAAGCGGAGCTGGTATCTAGAGAGGGCCAAGTACCACTTCAACGCCCTCGTCCCGGAGTGGTCGTTCAAGTGGCCGGTGAGGAAGTGCTGAGGAGGGGCGTTGGGGGGCGGTGGCGGGGTTGGAGGGAGTGAAGGGGAGCCTGAGTGGGCATTTGATGTCAGCCAAATGTCCATTACGCGCGATACGCGCAATACCCACGTGTAACAAAGTAGCTAACTAACTAAGCAACAGGTTGGTTATTGTTGTGGTCGCCTGATGGTCTCCTTTCACCAGCTCCTTCACCAACATTATTTCCCCATCTTCCCGGGCCATGCCTTGCCTGTGCGATACTCCAAACTGCTGACCTCACTCACCCTGCCTCTTCCCGCTTGGTTTTCCCGCTCCCTTTCGCACCCTGGGGACACGCGCATGAAACACACACACACACGCGCGCGCTCATGCATCTTCTGACAGTCTGTGGAGCCCTCTAAGAACAACACGGCCTATCGGTACGGCAAACTGATGTCCGACCACGTGCAGTTTGCGGCTGACAATGACTTCGTGATGGCACGGGGTCACACTTTGGAGGTGCGCGATGACGGATGGCCGGGAGGGGAACTGGCCGGGGGTCGTGTGTGTATGTATGTCGTGTCGAGGCGTATGTATGTGCGTGTGTCGCGACGGGGTTCGCCTTTGGGATTGTAATTTGCGCCAATGTATGTCAGGCCATTGTGTTCCCTTGAGTTTTGGTTATCTCCCTTTCCATATCCCTTTCTCCATTCCCCCCTTTCTCCCCACCCCTAACCCCCTCAGTGGCTCATTCCGAGCCCGAGCTTTGGCGACCACTGGTCTCGTCTAGATGGGTGTGATGCCTACCGCACCTATTTGGAGACACGCATCAGGCGGGAGGTCACGAACTTCAAGTAAGTCGTGTAGAAGTGTAGTAGTGGCGACGTGGAATGCGAGTCAGCGCGGAATGCGCGTCGGTGTCCGGTTTGTGTAGACGGCTGCCGCTGCTGAAATGGCTCAGCAACAGATGATGAAACGACGAGGCTTTTGTGTTTCTCCTCCAGTCATCCTTCGGTGGTTCATGCGGATGATGCGGTATGTATGTCTTCTCACACCCGCCCTCTCTGTCCTCGTCCGAAGTACCCCGGCTCCCAGTTCCCACCAGCGGTCGAGCGTCTTGCCGTGCCGTCGCGAAACGTTTGAGCCTTAACCCGTTTGTACCTTCTGTTCGTGCGTATGTTTACTTGTTTGCTTGTTGCTGAACTTGCAGGGGCAAGTTCAACTCGTACGACGTCTTCAATGAGATTAGTAAGTGCCACCATGATGCGCGCGTGCGTGCGTGTGTGTTTTACAGCTTGACGGAGCGTGTATTGCTTGTATTTATGTTGTTACAGGGTGGTATAGCTTCACCAGCGACCCCCTGCTTGTATGTATGGCTGATGCATCCAATTGCATGTACGCATGCATACTTGCAATTACACTGCACTTCACCGCACTGTACTGCAACTGTACTGCAGCCCCTTGGCACGCTGTGATGGGTGGACGCATGAGACGGGTGTTCTTCCAAACACGCGTTAGGTTCGGCCCTCACCCCGGTCATCACCGTCTCTATCTGTTTTGTTATCCGTTTGTCTGTCCTTATGTCTGTCTATCCACATCCATCGGGCCACGTTTCACGACCGCAGTTCACGACCGCGACTTTGTGGAGAACTGCCCGGGCATGTGGCCGGCCATTTTGTACGACGGTTTCCGTTGGGCCCATGAGGCTGATCCGACTGCTCGGTTGTGTTTGAACGACTATGGACTCATTACTGGGGATGACTGGCAGGTGGGTGTGACCTGTGCCGTGAATGATGTAATTTTTTCTGTGTGGGAGTAGGCCCCTAAAGCGGTGAGATGGTGGATGTTGTTGGTCGGGGGGTTGAGGTCTGCGGCATGGATTCTTCTTCATGTTCGTGTGCTGTGTAATTACGCGGCACCTAGAGTGCGGGATCAACCTGGGCCTGTGCGCCAACTACCTGATGTGCAGATGTGCAGATGTGTGTGTGTGTGTGTGTGTGTGTGTGTTTCACTTGATGTCTCTGACGCCCTAGAATCCCGCTCGTGTGTCGATGTCGTTGCGCTGACGTTTGGTGTCCACCATGTACAGTCACCCCCAAAACCTCTCCTGCGTACACACATACATACGTACATACATGCAGGCGATGATCACGTACGTGTCCGGCATGTTGCAACAAGGTGTCCCCATCAACTGCATCGGAGTCCAGGTGCGTGTGAGCACGTGTGGGATGTGCACCATGGGTGAGTGCCACCTAGGGCTTTAGGTTTTAAGTTTTAGGTTTTAGGTTTTAGGTTTTAGGTTCCCGAGGTGATCTGAAAGGGTCAAGGGCGCAGACCGCTCAACTCGCACACAAGTGTGAGGGAATGGAATCCTCTGCCCACATCATCATCTCGGCTGACGTGCACGGTATTCGTAATACAGCGTTTTGCTCCTCACCCACCTGCAAAACCTTATGTGCCGTACAGCCTGGCCTGGCCGCCTAGTCCGGGTCCCGACTTGAGACTGTACAAGCAACTAGTAATTCGGACATCAGCGGATTCATCACACAGTGCCCATGTCCAAAGTAGTCATCAGTTAATCCATCATTTGCATCTTTTGCCGCGTGTAGCTACCACGTACTTGCGTAAGTCCGTATCCCACCAAGCCCACATGGCACATCCTAGCCCCAACTTGCCATATGCGACCATGCAAGCAATTTTGTCCCTTCCTCCCCGTCCTAGAAATCCGCCCATCGTTTGGGGGACCCCGCCGCTTATTACCTGGCTTCGTTCGCGGCTTCTGCGGCGCTCCCGCGTTGCCTTCTGTCCATTCATCCGTCGCCTGCCGCACCCCATCACCCACGTCTTGTCCCTTCGTACCCTTCGTACCCTTCGTACCCTTCGTACCCTACGTACCCTACGTACCCTTCGTACCCTACGTACCCTACGTACCCTTCGTACCCTTCGTACCCTACGTACCCTACGTACCCTTCGTACCCTACGTACCCTACGTACCCTACGTACCCTACGTACCCTTCGTACCCTTCGTACCCTTCGTACCCTTCGTACCCTTCGTACCCTTCGTACCCTTCGTACCCTACGTACCCTACGTACCCTGCCTCTGTCTAATTGGACCTCGCAGGCCTACGTCCCCTTAACCAACCGGCCGAGCACCGCTTACATGCGTACGAGGCTGGAGGCACTTGCGGGCCTGGGTCTCGACATTGTCATTACGGAGTTTAATTTTTGGACTTCTTGGGCCTCGAGCGGCAACCCTGTGTGGGAGGGCACAGATGCGGAGCATGCGGCGTTGTACGAGGAATACGTGCCGTTCTGGTTCTCGGTGCCGTACATCAAGGGCATTATGATGTGGAACTTTTGGGACGGTTCGAACTGGATTACCAACGGCGGCATTTATCGCCTAGATGGCACCCCCAAGGCCTCTGCGCTTGCCGTTGGTGAGTTATATGTTTCAGTTTCTTTTTCTGTTTTTTCCAGAACTGAATTGAAATTGCATGCAGTTGCTGAAGCAAGCTTTTGACTGCATTGTTTCGCATCGTCAGGATTCGCATGTCCAATTGTGCACATCTCGATATCGATTCTGACCCCATGCCGCCCCATCCAACCGAATAAAACCAAATAAATGTTAACTAACACAGGTGACATGTGGAACAACCGCTGGCGTACGAACGTGGCCCTCTCCAACGTGGTCTTACCCAACGGCCAAGCAACCATCAATGGCTTTTACGGCAAGTACAACTACACGCTTGAGCTTGATGGCCGAGTGTTTTCCGGAGTGATGGACTTCCCCAAGAACGCGGGCGCCCAAACGGTCACCATTTCATTGGCGTAAAAAGCAGGAACTGAACAGACCATTTAATGTACATGCAGTGATATGCGAGTCATGATGAATGGAATAATCGGATTGTGGTTTTGGGGGGGGGGGGCCCACGTATATACAATTCTTTTCCCGACAAAGCTCGGCATTCCTTTCTTTTCTTTCTTTCCAATAAATATCAGCCATGCCATTCCGGTCCCGATGGCATGCAAATAGAACAATAATGTCGTCAACGGATCCTACACGTACATATATTCGGGAGTACAGGAGCCGTTGAATGCTTGCATTCAGTATTTACAGCAGTATGAGTAGATACCCTATTTGATAGGTATGCATAGGGGTGTGTGTGTGCGTGTGCGTGTGCGTGTGCGTGTGCGTGTGCGTGTGCGTGTGCGTGTGCGTGCGTGTGTGTGTGTGTGTGTGTGTGTGTATGTACATACACATAACGTGTGTGAGCGACATTGCGTGGCAATCTTATTTATGGTCCTCCCCAGGCTTGGAAATCTTTGTTATTATCCCTATTTTGTGTCCCTTCTTGCTTGTTACAGCCAAAAGCTATGTGTCTATGCGTGCGTCCGCTGCATATCACCAATAAACTCCTAACAGGGTTAGTATGTACGGCGAGCAGCTTTATGCGATGCAATTTGTCGGTTTCGGCTGCCGATTATTTCCATGCCAACCATTATTCGTATTCTATCGTACTAGCTAGTGACATTGCTCAATTTAGTTTGCCGGTCGCTGGCCTTGTGTTCTTTCAATAAATTGTTTGGAGCGGTTGCGGTTTGCTGTACATATGTGGACAAGATTATTCTATCGTTTCCTTTCCTTCCTCCTGCTGCGGCTGCGTGCGGGTACCTCCACGCGTATTCGTTGTTATCATGCATGTAACGAAGTGTACGAATGGTGCTGCTGCTGTCTTTCGTACTGTATGTGGGCGTTACAACGGGCATAACGTCCCGCCTCGTCATCGTACATACGTCAATAAGGTAGAGATTCGTAACCGGTGATTGCCGTATCTCACCGTTAGATATTAGTTGTTTGCAGAGGCTGACGTGATCTAACTATGGAAAACCCTACCAGCCACCCACTACCTCAACTCCCAGCTATCCCGTATTCTCGGCTGGGTATGGAGGCCATATATGTACCGTTCTGCGGGTTACCTGCGCCCGATTGGTAAGTGCTAGATAGACCTGTTTTGTCACATCCCAAGATGGAAGAGTACCTCTAGCTGGGTGGCAAGCTGGGTGGCTGGGTTGAGGTATGTAACCCCCCTATTCCTATCCTGGCGTCGAGCAGTTTTGGAATCGGTGGTTACTCTCGCTTTTGGGCTGGTCACACCCACACTACGGCGATGTAAGCGGAAAAGTCTCAGGGTTTGCCACCTGAACCCTTTTTATCATGATTACAGAATATTCTGAGATGTGCACCAGCTCTTGCACATACAGGCTTTGCATGGCCACCAGATAGAACTGGTGATGATGAATCGCCACCAGCCGCACGCAGCCAGCTGGGTACATAAAAGCACAACGGAAAGGCACGAACGACAGAACGAACTGCAAGATGACGGACGACAATATAAAGGAAGATTCGGCATGTTGATTATTGGCAAACCACTGCTCTGCAAGGGTGCGAAGCTGCAAGCCAGGGGGCCCCTGATTTTGAACCAATAGGAGGGATGGCAAGTACGGTTGGATTGAGTTGGTAGGGTGGTCGCCAGGATTGGGATAGATCAACCGGGGATTGAGATAGACTGACGGGGGGATTGAGATTGACTGTGGAGGGATTGAGATTGAGACCGAGGTGGATTGAGATCGGGTTACCGTTGGATTGAGAGTGTAGTACCGTTGGATTGAGATAGACGCTACCGTTGGATTGAGATTGCCTTGGGCCTGGATTGGGATTGATACCCCGGAGGATAGGGATAGAAAGGCTGTAAGGCTGTACATATGCTTGTGTTACCCGCTGCACTCCTTTACCACGTCGGTGGTGCCGTTATCTAACCAAAAACGGTATCCGTGACATCTGTGACGCAACCTTTCCTTGACTGTTACACGTCGCACAGCTTTCGCAACGTTCGCTTAACATGCTTGGCACCAAGCGCTCTGTCCCACCGTATGCATGCTCGCGTATGCATGCTCGGAAACCATGCAGAAGAAGAACAACAGCCTGCCGTCCGCTTGACATCCCGTCATATGTACATAACACTAACTTGCACACCCATAAAATGTCCAATGGGACTGCTTCCACAGGCTGCCGCAAATAATCATAACAAAACACCTATCTTCCTGTACATGCTCCTGTACACGCACGCTCTGAAACTAGCCCATGAGTGTCGTACACACCACGGGGATCCTCTGTACCGACACAAGTGCGCTCTTCTATTGGGTA